AGCTGCTAAAGCAACCCCAAAACCCCAAAACCCCAAAACCCCAAAAGATTGATCACTATGATATAGAGCTGCTAAATAAATCAATATTAAAATTAATATATTGATTTATCTTGGGAAGTATTGATAAATGGAAGAGTAGTTAATGGCTGTGAATTAGGGTTTTCAGCCTTGCCAAGGGGAAAATAAGGTGATAAACGTAGCGAATTTCTTAGCCCTCATAGAAGATTACAAGGGAACGACAATCAAGCACATGCTTGACCTGGAAAAGGTAAGCAAATTGACTTATTAACTTTTTTACATTGAGCTTTACCACTAAATGTTTAAAAACATACTATAACAACCGATTGTTAAATAAATATTAATAGGAACTATCGAGCACTGCCGATTTCTTAAAGATAAAACTGGCCAATCGAGTCACACCTGCCATGTGAGATGAGTTAATCTCATGGATGATCATCGTAAGTAAATAGAAAAGATTAGCTTAAATAAGATAAAAGACAGTCAGTCGAAGAAGCTCAAATTTATTTTATTTTAGTTATGTGATAAATATGGTTTCTTACACAAGACTAGAATACAGGCCATCCTTTATGTTGATTATTTTATGCGAAAAAGTGACCGAGTAGAGTAATGCACATTAAGGCTCATAGCTATCGCCTCCATACTTATATCAGTTAAACTCAATGAGGATAGATTGCTGTCTGTGGAGTAGTGCATGAAGGAGTGCAATGGAGACTATTCAAAGGAAATGATTATTAAAACTGAGAGGCTCCTTATGGTGTACCTCAATTTTAAGATGAATTTACCCACTGCAATGGACTTTGTATAATTCTTCTTGTACCTTAGTGATCCAAAGTTTGATTTTGCAGAGATAATAAATGAGTCTCTAAGTTTTATTTATGTCAGTCTCATGGGTAAGTAAGAATTTCTTAGATATATTTAACCTAATAATAAAAAATGGACTCAATAATATCTATAGATTACAATATCTGCAGGTACAAGTAATCTTCAATCGCAATAGCTAGTATTCTACTCACTTTGCATTTCAAGGAAAAATTCTGGGAAGAATTCAGTTATGATTGGTACTGCTTCCTTTCTAAAACATTTTAGAACATGATAGATCAGGTATTCCCAGCATAATTTCTTCATTTATATTTAGTCCGAAATCAATATATGCTTTGAACTTTTGAAGAGGATTTTTATGGGCGAACAAGAAAAACAAATGAGCTATGGCTAAAGAGATTCGCAAAATATAGACTTTGTTGATTAATCTACAAGTTGTGACATTAATAATAGTTTATTCTCTAAGTCACCTAACGGCTCAACTTTACCGGAAAGTACAAATTCAAATTTCGTGAGTCCACTACAACCGCTACAACTTAAGATGAGCCAGCATAGCTCATATTAGTTCAACAACTCAAATGGATCTCACTTCAAAATTAATCTTTACCAAAATGAGATGAGGAAACAACTCAATTAGCATTAATAGATTGAGATCTATGAAGAGAATTTACAAACATTGGAGAATGATGAAGACGATGATAAAGATACAAGAGCAGAAAAATTCAAGTAAATGCATTCTCAAATCTACATTCAAAATCTTAAAACCCATGGTAGCAACATTTCTACAAACATTACCAAATTCTAATCAAATATGAGCCCTGAAATGATGGACGATGTGAGTCGAAATTATTACGACTCATAGCATAACAAGGGCAGAATTGGAGACTTACTAGAATTTGATGAAGATTCTTCTTACAATTCTACTCGAGATATAAATCTTACCAACTTAAAATCTCTCAAGCATATTAATGATGCAGTTGGGGGGACTCTACCATTCAGTACAGCTAATTTGAATATCAGCAGTTAATAGCGGATGAATGGCGATCCGTTCTAGTCTTTTGGAAGTGGGGGTAGCAACAATAAGCAGAAAAAGAAAATGACTCAGAATAACTTTGAGGCAGTGTCAAACAGGTCTTCAAAGATTAATGGAATCGCTAAAAATAAAAATAAGAGACAAATCATGAAATAGTAGATGTCCAGTAACGGGGATGAATCAGACTAAAGTCCTCCGACTAAAGTTCTCTCCAAATTTTAGTCTACTATTAATGATCAAGTAAAGAATCAAGGTAGAGTAAGAATGAAACCCATAAATTAAATCAATGGTAATAATAGTATGGCGAATGTCAACAGTAACGATTAGTGGTTATTTAGCATGCAAAAGCAACTGTAATATTAGGGGAATTAAAGTGTCGATGTAGTCATGGGGGGATCTTAGGGCTCAAACAACGACTTTTCATACAACTAGAAGATGCAAGACGTGGATGAGGGCTAGTATTGATAAGGCTTGTAGATTAACAACAACATAACTGAAGGGAGCAAGTTGATGCAACTGGGAGCATCAACTACAGCCTCTACTTTATAACTATAACGGGGAATGAAAAACCTAAAGATCAACAGATCGTAATGAGCAGGCGCGCTTGGCCAGGCCAACCATATCAAAATGAAGGCTGTCAACCTTCAGGAGAGAGGCCAGCTACACTCTCTCTTAGAGCTGACTGTTTAGGCTCAGTTATGACACTTCTTACACTCGAAATCACGAACGATTAATAAAATATATAGTTCTTTTTCCTTCCCTTGGCAGAACTTATTGTAGATATTCCTGAGATTATTAAATTATATTATGTCCTAATACAAATTCCCATTTAAATCTATTTTAATTCATCCATAAATAAATCATACTCACACTAATCATTCTTCTTCCACTAATATTGGTTTATATTCTCTTTCTGATCTCTACTTTGCCTCATCTAGCTTTCTAACTTCCATTATTCTTTTCATGACTATTTCTGCTTGCTTATTTTTGCCCTCCTTTCTAAGTTATTCGATAGTTTGATTGAAAGTAAGCATCTTCATAGAGTGCACATTGTAATCCACTGCAAAATTCAAAGCTCTCAGAACCTATCCCTCATTCAACAATGCTATTACTATATCATCATATGCTCTAACTTTCTTGAGCATGTCCAAACCAATTTGGAAAGCTGGCTAGTAGTAGCATTTTTTCTGCTCTTTTGAATCTTTTGAGCCTAGCTGGACAAGCAATCTTGCAAGATCGGCATTCTCAGTAAGCACTCTGAACTATAACAAATTCTAAAGATTAGCAAAGTCTCTAGTAGCTAAGATGTAATGCATCAACAAATTTTACTAAGATGGTTACTAGGGTATCTGATTATCAATGAGGGATCTCAGGAATTCCAAAAAGATTGACATCACGAACCTTGGTTTTAATATCTTATCAGTTTCAAGAGGGACCAACTCTTTGGGAGGTATTAAGTCTGCTGATAGTGGACAAGATGAATGAGATATCAAGTCCTTGAAGATTTCAAGAATCTCATTTTAGAATACTATGACTTCTCCACTAAGAACTCTATTCGTTGGATGATATTCTAAGAGGAGATTGTTTAGTGACTTTGCTATAAAGGATGTATTTGCTCTCAGCCTACTCATCCTTTGCAACTGAATTATCAATAGTTCGATGTAAGAACCCTAATGAAGATAATTCTCACTTACTATTCTACCTTAGGCTCCCTAACTTGACTAGTATTTTCTCTTGAAAGTTTGTCGCTCTATAGATGCTTACTTATATATGCTATTTATTCTGATGAATACTTGTGAAAGTTAATTAAGTCCTAGTTTCTGCTAGATAGTCAATAGTCTTAGATACTTTAGGAAAACTTATTTATTTCTACTTCTGCAGAGTAAAGAGAGCATCATTCTTCCCTCATTATGGCAAGTCTTAGCAAATCTCTCCAAGTGTAGTCTAAGTGTCAAGCAACTATAGTTCTTGGTGTCAATTAAGATCATTGGATCTACAAAAATTACGCCATCATCATATATATCAAACTCTCTAGCCTCTTTATTTTCTTCTGGCTAACTTAAAATATCTCTACGCTTTTAGGCTTCATCTGAGTCTTCTATTTTGATAGTGTCTGAATTTTCTTATATTTACTGAGAGTTAGATTCAGTTGTAACTGAGGAATGATTTTCTTAAGAGTATCTAGCATCTAGATTATTCTAGAATTAATTATCTTCTGCTGTGCTAGCTAGTAAATCAACAGGATTTTATTAATCAATGTCATCAGACTCTTTCCTTTAGCCAGTTAAATTATCATTTTAGCTTTGATTTTACTGTTAGCTACTCTAAGCTTGATTCTAGTACTCTTGGTATCTAGTTTCTTCCTTCTAGAGCATATCACTTAGATATTTACCTTTATTAACTAGACCATACTCAATCTTAACATCTTCACTCAGGAGAGGTATATTCCAGTCCTCTAATTTTAAATCATAGATTTGAGTCGCTCTTGTGTCCATGTTGTGAATTACTAGTAAGTTATCAATGGTTTGCATTTAAATGAGATCCTTGCCTGATAGAGATGATTGATATATTTAGATATGACCGTTATTCTTGAAGGTCTGATTGATGTCAAGCTCATAGGCTTGAACTTGGCTAGTGTTGGGATTGTAATGCATTAGAATCACTCTGTGATACATTGTTGTCAGTAATATCTGATGTTGCTATCTTCTGACTCCGCCATGACTTGTCGCAGTCTAACTGGACATCATGCTGCTATTTGGGTCTTAAGATTAAGCTGATTGAGTCTCTTGGCCGAGGAGTTAATTCTTATAGACGAGGTGATTTAAATTCTGATTATAAGGATTGCCAGCTAATGAGAACTTTAGCTCAGTCTTTTTAAACAGTCCAAATGCCCTCTCAGTGAAACTTAATCTATTACTTGCTCTGAGACTTGCTCTTGCATCTTAAGTTTACTATCCCTCTTAGCTGGCAGGCTACGATATGTCAATCTAAAATGTCTTGCCTTTGTGCTGCTTTTACTCATAGAGATTCAAAAAGTATGGGCTGCATTGTCCTTTATTGTCTACTACCACGACTACACTAGCTGTTGGCTCGTAGTAAAAAATAGGCTCAGTCTAGTTAATCACGATGTTTTTAACAAGCTTGGCCTTAAGAGAATCAATCTTAATTCTGTAGAGATCAATGGAGATGTTAGTAGCTACGAAGTAATTGTAGTCATCTCCGAATAGAAACGAGAAGGCATGAATGATTCTTGCCTTAGCGAATGTCAATTTGATCTCCTCTGCTTAATTCTCCTTCAAGAAGAGTATTACTAGAGCGTTGTCAGAAACTTAGAGGGACAAGCAGTTCTTTTCTGGGTGGACACATGCCCCGTATACTTTCTTACTATATAGAATTTATAAGATATCCGATTTAAATGCATTTATTTATTTGACTAGAGAATGATGACTTGACTTACTAGGTTGTTGCGAGATTAAGAGTAAAGGCATTCTCCCCGAGACCATTCTGCTTATCATACATGTCCCAGATAACAAAGAATCCGTCTCTGAAAAGAATCATGCAGTTGGAGTAGCTGTCGTAAAAAGTAGAAAAATTGTTAAACTTGGAGTTCCAAGGCTGGGTGAAGTTAACCACACTCAGAGGCCCTTTTTTTTGTAAAAGATCCATAATTATATCAAAATTAAACAAATTAGATTAATTTATGATTTTATTATTTCAATAATATATCTTTGAGGGGTTTTGGGGTTTTGGGGTTTTGGGGTTTTGGGG